AATGTCACTGTGGTTCATGCATTTATTCCAGGTCATCTTGCAGTTTTTTGTAGGGAGATGCTCGAAATCTCCAGTCTTCTGATGTCCCAATTTTTTGATTGTCCATCAAAATTGATTGGTGTTTTCCAACCACCTGGGTAAGAGAGTGGCACAGGAAATTTCTACTGCTACCATTTGCTTTTCTTCTTCCTTCACCTCTCAGTTCAAAGGTCATCATTCCAGACCTCTCTTAATCTCCCTCCACCATGTTCCTGCTTCATTTCCATACTGGGAGATTCTGGTTTTCCTGACAACTTCAGGCTCCATGGCTGTGGCAGTCATCTGTCTTTGTCACCAATACCCCACCTGCAGGTGCCCTGAACGTCTTTAACAGATTTTCACTGATAGGCACTCTTGATGACATCCCTCAGAATATTCTAGAGGGAAACTAACCAAATTGGAGCACTGACAGGGCCCTTGACCCAAGTTCTCCAGTTCTTTTTTTCTGCTTCTTTCACTTTTGTTTTAATTTAAGTCCTCCCTCATCCATTATTTATTTTCAGTGTCTCAGCCAGTTTTCCCATCAGAGGAGACAGACATTTACAAGGTGGGAGGGAATAATGCCAGCCCCTTACCACATTACAAGGAAAGATTTTTTTATGACTTTTTAAACATCAGTGAAATGATGAATCGGAGATATTTTGATATAAGAGGAAACTTTTGTTTATATACAAGCTCTTTTATTAAATATCAGGAAGGTATGCAGGCAACTGGTAACATTGGCTGCCTCTGGGGAGAACCAGCATGATGGTTAAGTTGGGGGGAGCTTGTCTGTATGTCTCTGAATTTTTAATTTTGAACCACATCAGAATACATCCCATTCAAAAATTAGCATTTTAGCAAGGGGTGGGGTGGGCTGTGGGACCAGTATGTGTTCCATGCCCCGACCACTCTTCCTTTCCTTCAAAATCTGGAAAGCCACCCCTTTCATAAAACAAGACACCTGCTCTCTGCCCTGGTAGGCATACGCCCTGCAGCTTAACAGTCATCTCTGCCTTTACAACACTACAGCAGTTGTCATGAATAACAACTACATTGGTCTCTAGGAAGAGTGATCCTTTGGCATTCCAAGCTCTGTTCCTAATTCCCCTATTCATCCTAACCCAGTGGTTCACTACCAGTGACACCTTTGCCCCCGCCCACACAGAGAACATTTAGAGATCTCTGGAGGTGTTGTTACAGAGGAGGGATCAGTGCTATCTTTTGACATCTAACAGGTAGAGGCCAGTGCTCTTGCAGCCTAAAGTAAACTGGACAGAACCCATAACAAAGAAAGCTGGAAATGTTGCTAACCCTGGAGGCCAGGAAACCTTGCCCCAACCTAACTACTCTTTCAGGTGGAGGGTCCATGCGACCCTAGCTCTTTGAGATGCTAGTTAGATAACCTTAGGCATTCTCCCTAATTGATCTGAATCTAAATTTTTTTTGATAAAATATAATTATTACTACCCAAACTGGCTCATAGTACTATGAGGATCAAACTAACAGATGCAAACACATCCTCAGAAAACAAGAAAAGCAATGAGTGAAGTCACTGTTTTTATTAGCAAAAGCAGGATCCCTCAGCCTCTGATTTCTAATCAGATTAGTTGTTTTGTTAGCACTGAGCAAGGCAGCCAGTGTGACTGCCTCCTCTAGGGCTGCATTCATGGGAGAATGTAGCTTCCCGATTCTGGCTCCAGTCTGGCCTGGGCACACGACAGTAGACAGTGGGTGCTAAGGCAGTGCCCCATGTCCTTCCAAAGAGCAGTGGCTTCAGAAATGAGAGAGAAGTGTACTTCTCTTAGTGAACTGCCATTCTTATGGGGTTTGTTGTTTGTTTGTTTGTTTGTTTCATTAAGTAGCAAGGAGGTAAGCTGTACTATTCAGAGAGAGGGAATTTTAAAATTATCCCACTAGACTGAGAAGCACATATCCTCACAGCCAACCACCCACCCCTGTACAGTTCTTCCCTCCACACCCCTCAACCTCCAGATTGTATCATCTGTGCTTCTGTCTTCCTCCTCTCCAATGTCTTAAAACAATTATTTCAAATCTGCCTTTATGACTTTTAAGCAAGACATTGCATGTTATTTAGCAAAACAGTCAGCAGCTTCAAAAGAAAACCATTGACAAAGCCAACCATCTTGTCAGGGTATTTCCTGGGACTTCTATATGTTAAACCACCCAATTGTGCTACACGTCTGCTGCCAAACTATGGAAGCTCCATCTCTTGGTCTCTGATTCCAATAAACATCACACTGTTGTCCCCAAAATACTGTAGGAGATAATATTCTACTCCCGAACTTTCTGCACCACTTCCTTCAGAGGCAGCAGCCACTCCCACCTTGTTGAGTCAGAGTAAATGGCAGAGTTGGTTTCAGTGTGTCTGAAGCCGCCAGAGCCATCTGAGCTGCAGATCCTGCTCTGGGGGCACAATGTTGCCTTTGTTTTCCAATTAAAAGGCCTAATACTGGATGGTCTCACTCATAGCAGGAATTTAGAAAACCTAAATAAGAGACCAGGAAAAAAGACTAATCAATACAAAGTGAAAATCAAAATCAACAAGCAACTGTAAACCAGAGACACACTACAGGGTGGGGGGAGGCGGGGAGAAGAAGGATTAGGGTCAAAATAAGGGGGGGTGCAATTGGATGGGGAATATAACTAAAATGAAAATGCATACATTGTGCGAACATGAAAAATGATGTAAGAATTATATAAAATATTAAAAAATAATAAAAGGCCTAATAGATACAGGCCATCTGCACCTCCTTGTACAGCTTGGCCAAAGGCTTCCCATCTGAGCAGCAGACCATTTGTCCCAAGCCTTGTCCTTTGGATTATCCATTTCTATCACACCTCCCTGCTTCCCTTGTTTGGATACTTAACAGATTTTTAAAGGAGACTGGTATGAAATTGTACATGAACGTGGAGATTTTTCACTCTAGAATTTCTAGATTCTGAAAATGAAGACCAGAAATCATTAAGGGAGGTTCTAGTCTTATGTAATCAACACTAATAAGATATATGCCATGTGCTTTTTCAGAATTTTTGCTGCATTTTGAAGTTAGAGTCATTCATTGGCTACTGGGAGAATCTTATTTACTTAATTCGATTGAGTTTAATTAGAAATGTATTCAGCAAATTAAAGTATAATTTTTGCCATTTCAAAGTAATTTTTAAAATTATATTCTAAAAAGTGCTTACATTTATTAAGTGCTTTGTGTATGCCAACCACCACTCTTAGCTCTTTGGAATTAATTTAATGTCCTAACAACCATATATACAAGGTAGTACTATTACTCCCACTTTATAGATGAGAAAACTGAGCTTCAGTGAGATTAAGTAACCTGATCCAACACACACAAGAAAGTGGCAGATTTTGACCTTGATGGATCTTTCTGGGGTCTCTCAGATCCCAGTGACTCTACTACCCTGAACACTGAGGTGTCCCTGACATTAAAATGGAAAATTATCAATTATCCACTGGAACAGTGGTGACCAGTGGCAAGATAAACCAGCAGTCTTTGGGAAGGGGAAAAGAGGAATTGTATGATAATAAACTTTGTTTTCCTTGAGTCAGGATTCAAAAGCCAGTTTTCCTTGTCCAAAGTATGTTTCACCTCTAAATACAGAATCTGAACTGTAGCTTTAAGGATACTTTTTTCTAGAATTATACTTTGAAATGAAAAACAAATCCCTTGGGCACTGTGCAGAAAACTGGAAATAAAATGGTGAATAAAGTGATAATTTCAAACTCATTCTTGAGTGCAGAACTAAAACTTGGCCACATGAAATGAGGTCTACTTGGAAGGGGTAACATTTTGAACTTTCATGTTAGGAGAAGAGCATGTGTTAAAACCTGTCACAGAAGGAGTTGTAATCTTCAATAACCTGCTCATCGAAACTATGATCTGATAAAGTAAGCATTTGGAAGGAGGACAGTGACTGTTCCCCCAGAGGCTGCACCTTTGTTTTCTGGTGAGCTCAGTTCACTGTCCAGAGATCCTGCATCCAATGTTTTATTACAGAATGTAAGGAAGACGAGGCACCTGCACCCTCTACATGGAGGCTGTTGTACTTGATGCATTAAGCACATCATTCAGGAGAGAAGAGGACGTGAGGTTGCTAAGGGGACAGTAAAATTAAGATTCTCAGTCCTTCTGTCGCCTCCTGATTCCTTTTTACATCCAGACACAATTGGGTTCAATTACAACAAAATTCTTGGACTGCTGATAGGGTCCGGTTGTACTTTTTCCCAGTGGAGAGAAGATGTGCTCTTGCTTTCATGTCCACTCTTTCTGCTCACCCAAGACGTGCTGCTTCCACTTTGCATTATGTCTACTTTGCATAAGGAATCAGGGAGCATTTGGTTATTGAGCACAGAGCTGAAATACAGGCTGTCTTGGAAACATTCTAATTCTCCTGAGCTAATTTTTCATATTGCAGTTTTGTCATTTTTTAAGGATGTAGCTAGTGCCCAGGACGTAAGACATGCATTTGATTGGATGTCCATGCATTTACTCAAATGTTTACATAACTCGGCATTGTGCGAGGCCTTGTGGGTAGAAAAGAGCCCCACACAGATGGAATCCATGCCCAAATAATGCTTTCATTGTTGTGGTAAAGACAGACCAGAAAAAGTAATCTTAATAAAATAACTATTAACTTTAAAAGTGCTATAAAGAAAATAAACAAGGGCCAGGGGTACTACCTTTTAGTCAGGTATTCAGAGAGGTCTCTGTAAAGAGTTGACATGGGAGCTGGAATGGCAGGTGTGAGGAGAAGCCAGCCGACAGGAGAGTGGAAGCAAGAGCATTCTTGGCATTCCTGACTTTCTGTTATCTACAGAGAAACTCACACCCAGCAACTTGGCGCACGTGTCCTTTGCAGCCTCTCTCCAATGGACATGCCTTGACCCACTTCTTGTCATTATCTTCAGCATACCCCTAAGTGCGGCCACATGGACTATCCATCCCTCTTCCTTTCTGCACAAGCTGATCACTCTATAATGCCTTGGGTCCAGAAACAACTCTATTGTCCTTCTCCATGCTCCCAGGCAGCAATTGTTAATCACTCCTTCCCAAGCCTCCCTCAGCACCCTGTACTTACCTCTAATGTCTGATGGGTGACTTTGTTTTGTAATAATTGTTTGCAGTTATGTTCCTGTCAACTGCACCAGGAGCAGCTAATCTTGACATCCACAGGGTCCCACACAGTGCCTGGCACAGAGCTTTCAAGAGATATATCACTTTTTTCTTCTTACTTCTAAATATGTTATCAACATTCCAGAAAGATACATTCTTGAGCCTACAGTTTGAGATCTACAATTAGAGGTGAGCTATGTTGTGGGGTGGAAGGAAGGTGCTGGGGGATCGAATGTATTCATTGCAGGAATTACACTTTGAAAGAGCTCAGTTCAGTTCTTTGGACTTTTTCCATTTCAAAGATGAGAATGATTTTCCGCATCATGGCATTGGGCATTTGAAAGTTGACTATTAGTGATGTGGCACCCTTAAATCCCCTCTCTGGAGTCTGCAGATTGCCCATGATCAGCCACTTAGGGAAGGGAAGGGCTTTAGCAATGAATTTAAAAAGCAGTCTTTTTCCCAACTCGTCACTCAAGAGTTCTGCTTCTGCCAGATGTTGACCCAATTAAGGACTGCCCCTGGATGCCAGTAATTGTCAGGGGAGATCAGGAGTTGGGGTTGGTAGACAGCCCATTTCTCGAGTACAGCAGCATAGTAAACACCCTTTTCTTTGTAAGATGAAAGAAGCATGATCAATGATTTTTCAGGTTTGCTCGATTTCAAAAGGAGTGAGCAGGAATAATAACCTAGCAGTTTCTGAAGCAGCAGCATCCCTCACAACATTGTGGCAGGGTGTAGACTTAAAAGCTGCAGTCAGGACCCACAGGCCGTGGCAATAAGCGTACTGGTCTTGGTGCTCTTCCACCTTCCTGCCCAGCAGTGCACTCAACAGGGGTGTCCAGGACAGCCAGGTTGAATTTGCCATTTATAAGCCCAACCTACTGTGAGACACTTAGTCTGAGCACCATACCACAGTCAGATTTGAGTATTAACCTTAATCATGCATGAGAAGGTAATTGGAGATACAAATATTAAATTGCTGCTCAGATGCTGCATCTCCACTCTCCACCAGTGGAACTTAAACCACATCACAGCAAATTCGTGGGAATTGAGGATTTAGTGAAGGGACAGAAACGACTTCCGTTGTCTCCATAATGAGACTCTGCTCAAACATGGCATTTTAATGACTTGAGACCCTGTTCTTTCTTGATGGCGGTCCCTACACTGGGATTCTGTAACTAAAGGAATTCTAACTTCTGCCCCCTGAACACATCATTAAAAAACCAAAATGTCCAGAAAAGAAAAAATGTTTGCTTTCTAGCCTATCAGATAGATATTAAAAGTTTTCTCCTATAGTTTTGCTATCTCTCAAAGTTTGATTTAGTTTGAGGAAACCAAACGAGGTTTCAAGAGGCCGTTCTCCTTGTCTGTCTCTACCTTTGTACATTCCAGCTGCTCCTTCCTGGCCAGTGGAACTCCTCTGGGGTGAATGAAATGTCATTTTCTCTGAGGGCACAGAGTGCATTAGAATGGGATGCAAGCATGTCACTAGAGACAGCACGATCAGGGAGAGGGGTGATCTGGAATGACACCCAAGTGTTATGGGCATTTTAAAGAAAATCATGAAAAAACTAAACAACACAGTCCTCTCCCAAGATTATTTGCTTATTTTTAAGTTAGTTTTTCTAAACTTGGAGATAAATTTATTCACCATTCCCCCCTTCTGTGTTCTGTGGAGTGTTGATTTTGTATGTAACTGGGGTGTTATAAATTACATTGTAAATACAAGAGACTTTGAGGCAGTGAAATTGTACATTTGTGAAGAAAATCTCAGATTCTGCTGGGTAAAAGAAAATCCCATTTTCAAAGAAGTATTCAATGTAATAAAAGCCCTAAGTTCTCCCTTTTCTCCCCCCAGAATTTGGGGTTGGCCAATTTAGACTGCCTTGATATTTATTTCCACACTTGTATTCATTCATTTATTCATTTTTTTTTAAAGATTTATTTATTTATTTGTTTATACAAACACTGGATACAGTCAGAAGCGCGGAGGGTGAGAGAATTCACCAGAGCCAGAGCGGGGAGCAGAGCAGGCAGAAGGACCGAAGTACACTGCTGAGGGAGCAGCGGGCGCAGGAGAGGTCTGCGCGCCATGTGGGACCCTCCTCCGGTGGCCGGGGAGCAGCCGGGGATCGAACCGGGGCTGCAGAGGCTGCGGGCAGCTTCCCAACCCAGCGCTCAACCGCTGCGCCACCGGGGAGACCCATTTATTCATTTTTAAGCAAGTTTTTTAAAGCTTATTAGATACTTTCATTGAGGTATACATTCCTAATTTTAAATTTGTGGGGGTTTTGGATGATGAAGGTCCCTCAGCTGTTTTGGGTGGCCTTACAGATGTTTGGAAGAAACTACACAGTGTGATAAAGGCTTTGATTGATCTAGCCCAGGAATAGGAATCTTGCCAGAAACCAGGTATATGCATAGAGCAAGGATAGATGTGCTTTTGCCAGTGGAGGTCCCTTGGCCCTCAGAATCCCTAAGGGGACATTTTGTGACTGGTACATAGGTAGATTCTGGCCAAATCAGGGGTACCAGGCCACAGTCCTTTACTCTCAGGCTTCCATTCTCATGAAGGAAGACTTGAGCAGTCTGCTCTTGGAGGGAAAACATTACAGCCATCTGTCTCCTTCCTGCTTGCTGGCCCACCCTCACCCTCTGCTGGGTTGCCTGGACCAGAGAGCTTTTGGCGCATGGTGGCCCGCCAGCCTCTCTGTTCTCAGCCATCCAAGAGCCCAGAATGCCAGTTTCCCCAAGTGATCTCATTCAGTAGCTCGTTCTGGACACCTGCTTATGCTAGGCACCAGGATTTCTGCAGTGAATGCGAGGAACTTGGCCCATGACCTCATGGAACCACATTAAAGGGTTAGAACTATTGCTGACTTACCTTCTTACCTTTCAAAAAGCTTATTCCATTTTAGACTCTCCATTTGGTGGTGGGGTGTGTGGGGGGAAGGGGACTAACACTGAGGACTGTTCGTTTTAAAAATCTTTGCCAGCTGATTAGTGATAGTGCCTTCGTTTTCATTTTAATTTGTGTTCATTTTTATTACTAGTAAGTGTAAACCATTTTTCAGATTTTTTTTGTTTTATCTGTGTTATTTCAAGAATTATCTATTCTATTTGTGAGGGCTACTTGGCTCATAAGGGCTTGCATTTTTTTTTTTTTTGCAGTTATTTTCCGGTTTTAAATTAGTCTTTTAATTTCTTTAGTGTTTTTTTATTCAAACTTTTATAGAACAAATTTGTTAATGTTTCCTTAAGGATTTTGTCTTTACTCTCATGTTTTAATTTTGAGCTAATAATGCCTTGTTTTCATTATAATATTCATCATGCCAGACTTCCCATGGCACTTAACTTTCAAAAATACCATGTTTTTTCACTTACTCCTCAAATTGAACTTCAAAACCATTATCTTTAAAATAATTAATACTGTGATTTTTGTTGAAATTCTGTTAAATTTATTAATGAGTTTAGGGAGAACTAGCATCTTTTACTACTGAGCCTTCTAAGAATGCAATATCTATATATGTATTGTCTTTTGTATTCCTCAGTAAATTTTTGTTTTTCTCAGGGACTTTATACCTGGTTTTAGTTAAATACACTTCTGAGGAACTTCTGTGGGTTTCTGTTGCTGTTATTGTTGTTATTGTTGTTTGGGGATCTTTTGTTTTTTCCTATTGTAAAATAAGAAAAATTAGCAGGCCTTTAAAAATTGGATATTTTCCCCCATTACATTTTCTAGCTGGGAATGTATATGACCTGATTTGAGTGAGTTTATTTTGTAAACTTACAACTTCATTTTTTTTTTAACTATGCACTAGGTACATGATTGATTCTTATATACTTATAATTTACTATTTGTAAATTATAATATTTCTCCTTTAACCCAATGTTTTTATTTGGTTTTCGTGTCTTATTAGTTTACCTTCCAAAACAGTGTCAAAGAATCTTTGCAATAAAAGAACAACCTTGTGTGGCTCGTGATTTTTAAGGACGAGTGTATTGTTTCACAGGGTATATCCTTTGGCACTGCAAGTCATTAACAGGTTCTTTTGGGTGTTTGCAATAGTAGAATGTTGTCTCTTAGCTCAAGAATTGTTTTCCATACTAAGAATTTCTTTCTGACTCTAGTTTTACTAAGAGTTTTTTTACATCTTAATTGGCTATTGACATTTTATATAATTGATTTAAGCAGACCATGAAATGGCAGTCATTGAAAGCACAGTTAGGTTTTTGAGTTACTCCAAGTACTTGAAACTAATGAAACCATGCTTCTCATCAAATATTATTTGATTTAGATTTGGTATCAGTCCAGATGGTCTGGATAATTGTGTTATTTCCTTATACTTTAGAGCAATTTTTGGAATTTCTTCCTAAAGGCCTGCTAATTTATTCCTCTTTACCAGAGTTATCTATATTGGAACTATCCTAGCACAAATGCTTTTCAACAACCTACTCTGGAGCAGGCAAATTGTTGAAATCATCTTTTCTGAGAAATTTGAGGCAAGGGGAGGAAAAGGCATGGATGTTTCTTCCCCTGAAATTCTTTGTTTCTTCAACGCCATTTTACCTTTTAATGTAGTTTCATAAGGTATTTGTACTTTTGTTTTATTCATTTGTAGAATTTGAGGTATAAATGACAAAAAAAATGAATGTTTTATGGGAATAAGTGGAAATTTCTCCCCTTTTTCATGGTCCAGAGAAAGTGAACATATCAGAAAATTAGCAAAAGTCCATCATGAGAGTTTAAGTCTTTTAGGAAAATAAAAACTTAAGTCTGTATAAAACCTGCACTGTGTGTCCCCACCACATTTGCTCTTCAGGCCTAGGGAGTTTGAATATAACCAGAGTCTGAGATAGAGAAGTCATCTTGCAGAGGGAGGAGGAGAAAGACCAGATGTTATGTTCCTATTGGGCCTGACCTTGTCTCTTAAGTCCAAAGAGATCCTATAGCGACCATCTCTCCTTCTAGAAGGCCAATCAGGCATACCTCCATGTCAAACCCATCACCAATCCATTCATTCATTCATTCATTCATTCATTCATTCAACAAGTGGTCATCTAAGGCCCATTTTGTGCTGCACACTTTGACCACAGAAGTACAAACTGAGTTCCTTAATTTTAGCCCAATGCAAATTAGCAGTAAAAAGTAACTTGGAACTAATTATTTTTAAATATTCACTTTGAAGAAAGAGAAACAGCCCAATCCCCTCAGTTTGACTTCAGTGTTTTAAACTTTGGCCTTAATGACAAACAAATAATTTATCACAAATTGTTCCAGACAGTTCTTGGTAGAGCATCTTGTTTATAAATAAATCCATCCTTTGGGAGGCTCATGGGGTGGAGAGTGAAAAGGTTTGAGTGTCTCTTGTAGGCAGGACCTATAAGTTTGTTTAAAAATCAATATATAAATATTTCCTATTGCTGCTTTAACAAATGATCATAATTTTAGTGGCTTGAAACAACACAAATTTATTATCTCATGATTCTGGAAGATAGACATGTAGCACTTGTCTTAACAAACTCAAACCAAGGTGTTGACAGGGCCACATTCCTTTCTGGATACTCTAGATAGAATCTCTTTTCTTGCCTCTTCCAGCTTCAGAGGTCACTTAAGTTGTCTCCTTTTGCCATCTTCAAAGCCAGCAATGACGAGCTGTCTTTCTTACCTTGTATATCACTCACCTTCTTAGTCTTTCTTTCTTTTGCCTCTTCTGTTACTTCTAAGTACCCATGCTATTACATTGGGTCCATCCGGATACTCCAAGACATTCTCCCCATGCTAAATTCAGCTGATTTGCAACCCTTATACTATAACATTTTGCCTAGGTAATACACTCTTAGGTTTCACAGGTACTAGAGATTATGATGTTTTGGGACCATTGTTCTGTCCACCACTATATAACTTAATACAGTCCTCCTCTGTGCACCTAGAGCCCTTTTTCACCCTGTTGCCATGTGCTCTTGGTCATTCTGAGGCTCTCAATGAACATCAATCAAGGTCCTGATATAGGTAGTCTTTCTCCTATTTCCTTCTCTCTCACCCTGCCCTCTTTTAACCCACTCCCTTAAATAAATAAATATACATAATAAATATATCTTAAGAACCTAAATCTCCCTTTAGTACATTGCTTAGGAGCTAATTTTATAAGGTGTAAGCATGCAACTTGGCTTCTGGTGCCATTCCATTGAACTGAAAAGCAAATATGGCTCAGATCACTACTGTAACATGAAGCAGTCAATATTTGAACGCAATTTTGAAAATCGAATTTTGAGCTCACTGGTGGAGATAGTCTGGAAGGTCTTTCATTTCCTGTATTATTATGCATCTCCTACCATTGGCCATGTTATTTCTTTGGTGTTTACAGAAGGAGGTCATGTTTGTGAACCATGTCTAGGAGAAAGCAAAGATATATAGAAAATCTCTGCTTGGAGTATAGAGTCAAATGATCCCTAGGTTGGAATCAAGGGCTATAAATAAGGTGGTGATTTCACATGTACTGTGGGACTGGTATTTTCCATCTTTCAGCACACAGTTTGGATAAACTTTGGAAAGATCTTTTTTGATAGTTCTTTGAAAATGGAACAGTGGCTACCCACAGAGATTTAATCTTGGGCAAAAAATAGGAATAAGGTCATCAATTCTGATGACAGGATTAGTCCTTTTTCTTGAAAGCAATTGGATATCCTGGGTTTTCCATTGGCTTGAGAATAGTCACCATCACTTGAGGTGGAAATAGCAGAAATGATTAATTTAGAAAGGAGCAGGATTGTGGGGTGGGTGGAAGTGACATTTGTCTGCATTATATTCTTAGAAACTTGGGCTGTTAGTGTTGGAAATGCCTGTGATAAAACTGTTCATTAGCATAGGAGGAAATAGAAGCCCAATACTTATGTCCCTGGCCAAGAATGTGCTGAGTGCAAGAAGCTGAGCTGGGCTCAAATTCCCAGTCTCTGAACGCAGCCTTTCCCAGCACACTGCGCTCATCTCAGCACCCGTGACAGCTGCACTGGGGTGACCAGACAGAGCCATCTGCCTCACAGATGCCCTTCATGTCCATTTCCACTTGTTCATTTCTCCTGCACAGATGGCTCCAGCACCCTGTGTTTGGTTTACCCTGGAGAATAGAGTGTCATCTGCTGTGGGACACAGTAGCCTTGTGTTTGTGTGTAAGTGTGACTCTATACGGAGAAGCCAGGCAGGGGGAGCAGGCTTATTTATACACACACCACACCAGCTGCATTTTTAAGGACTTGAATCAGGACAAAGGTGAACAGAGGTACACTTTCCTTTCCCATTTCTCTATTATTACTTATTGTTGTTGTTTTTTTAAATCACTTCAGTGTTTGTGGTTTGCTCTTGGTTTGATGAACTCAACTGTGAGTTAAAACAACCATGTAATTTTAAGACATTGATCTTGACAAACCTAAAATGCAAGGCCTTCTATTGGCATGGACCACAAATCTGTCACAAGAAAACCAGCAGTGAGGCACACCTGCACATAAAAGGGTGGTTTATCTTGGTATGTATGGTGAGATTTTCGCACTTAGTTGACATTGTGGTTTTCAAGCAGGGATGATTTCGCCCCCCTCCCCATATTTTTGGCAATATATGGGACATTTTTGGGTTGTCACATCTAGAGGAAGTGGTACTACTTGCAGCTGTGAGTGGAGACCATGGATGCTGCTGAACATCATACAATGAGCTGCAGACCCCCCAACAAAGATGTCAGTGGTGCCCAGGTTGAGAAACTCTGACCTCTGTGAATATGTGACTTATTTTGATACCTGACTTTAGGAAGCTACATAGAGCATTGAGAAACTTAGAAATGATTTGGCTTGTAGAATAGACATACCTGGTATAGTAAATTTTCTGTAGTTCAGTAAGAGAATATGTTTGCCCCAGAGGAGCAGAGCAAATCACTCTGAATTGAAGAGAGGGCAGTCCCTGTTTAGCCCTTGTGCACCGTCTCAGGCTGCTGCCCTCAGCAACCACAGTAAAACATAAGCCTCCCTCCACTCTTTACGTCTGTAGATTCTGTGGTAGAACGTTTAGGTGTGTCGTTTCTGTTTGAGGATCATGATATAGTTCAGATAACCAAACATGGAATGAGAATATGTGGTAAAGAACTAAGGAGTGCCTTATCCATTCCTTACAAGCACAACCTTGTGGCAGATGATGGAGTCTCAACATAGTCAAGTCTCAGCAACGACCTCTGGGACACTGTCACTAGGAGGAGAGGCCTGTGGGAGGAAATGGTTAGGAGACTACTACAGCTCTCCCTGCTTGTGCTGTGTGTTCTACTCGGGACCTGAATGTAGTAAGAGTGGTTTGTATTTCCTTGTTCCCATTTGAATCTTTGAAAGAAAATTTCCATATTGTTTGAACTCTCTGCCCCTACCAGGAAGTTACATTTCAGACTAATTAAGTCATGGGATAGAGACACAGGTATTTCCAATCATGTTCATTTTGTAGGACTGATGGCAAGTGGCTCCCCCCCCCCATAAAAATAACACCCCTTGACCACCCAAACCCATATACACGAGCAGCTGTGGTGCTTGGCATCAGGACCACCTGCGCTTTTGTCTCACAGCCCTGGGTGGTGGTGGTGGAGGGAAGAGGCAGGGACTGTTCAGGCTCACCTTACCTCACAGTGAGATTTCAGTTTCCAGTGAGACATGCTGCTTCTCTTCAGAAAAGCTGTTCTCTTCCGCAAGCGATCTGTGGAAATATCCCCTGAGCCACACTGTCCCAGGTATGTCATTTCATAAGCCAAGCTGTTTCTAACCACCACCCCTCCCCCATGTGGCTGCCTACAGCCAGTCATTAGGTACTGGTGCTGGAAGGGGGCAGGATTGTTTTGCAACTATCCTAGACTGGGTAGGTTCACAGTTGGTTCAGGTAGCTTAAAAGGGAACCTTGGAGCCCTTGCCATCAACCCCACAGGTTTTTTAATAGTATGCAGGGGAAATAAGCCAGCAGGAGACAGCAATTTGGGCCCCCTGCGAATCTCCATATGCACTTTCCTCTAGGCTTCCTCTCACAGCCCTGGCGTCCTCTCATAGCTGTTCTCCTCTGCAGCCATTTCTGCCATAGCCTGTTTTCTGTGTAATGCTGCCCTTATAGCCTCCGCCTCCAGTCTCAGGTGTGCCCACTCATGCATGTCCACACCACACTCCAGGTGTCCACAATCAGGCATGAGTGCTCTAAGCCCACACTCCCAAGGGCCTCCTGCATTAGCACAATCAAGGCCTCAGGTGATAGCCACAGAGGATAGCAACGTAAAAGCCTGATCATTTCACTTATCCTACAACTGTGCACAGGTACAGGCTGTGTCACGATGGACCTGGGTGAGATGAAGCTGGAGATGGGAGTCAGAACACAGGTAGAAGCTACCAGAGATCAAGACAAGGACAGGGACCAGCCAGGCCTCTTGTGTCACAGACTCCAGAAACAAGTTAATAAATATAACACAGAAACATCCAGAGATGTTTGCTTGCTTCTGTGTATCCTGAAAGTTGACTGCTGCAGTAATTAAAGAGGGAGAATCCCACATTCAGGGGGATATATCCATAGCGTTATAGATTCTTAGGGCTGAGAGTTTCTTTATCCATCCAGATCATCAACTCAGCCCTTCAGCCAGCATTGGCCTGAGCACTAAGACACTGTTTGGATGGAGATAGGTTAGTGTGGTTGGAGAAAATGGGGTTAGAGGTACAGGTTACAGAGACCCACCACAATTCCCTCTATTAGCAGCAAAGCAGGGAGGAAACACCCCTCTGTTGAGCGAAGGACCTAAGGCCAGTTGCTTGCACTTGTGCTGTAGCAGTAGGGCATCCTCTGATGGGCCATCAGAGACCCATGTGGGGCAGGGCCATTGGAAAGCTGGGTTGCTGGGATCAAATGAGAGGTTGTAGGAAACCTCTGAGAATAGCCACATCACCTGACAGTGCAGAAAGCTGCCAGAGCCTGGGGTCGAGCTTGAGCAAGAATAACTATGAACTAGGCATTTGACTGTCTGTAGCACTGACACCACCTTTTATCACTGTAGGCAACATCAACAGCAGTTTAATAAAGTTCTTTAAGTTCAAGAGAAAGAGCTAGATAGGAATAAATCACACACATACCCCAGCCTCTACCCAGCTGGCACTTCTGGAAATTGCACATTGGTGAAGCAAGTTGCTTCCTCCTGCTGCCTATGAGTAATAACCACCCTGTTCTCCTTTCTAGGTATCAGTTTTACTTTAAGGGTCGTAATCCCAAGTAGGCAAAATCTAGCTATTTTCTATTGTGTTTTGTGATAAAGCAACAATAACTAAAATAAAGCAGAGAGGAAATGTTAAGTGATTTATGGTTAGTGATTTATGGTTGGTGATTATGTACGCTGAAATGAAATTAGAAAGTAGGTTTGCAGAATTTTAGATGTGGAAAAACTTTTGCAAACCATTTAGTCAAATGTCTTTGCTATAAGGAAACTGAGACCCAGTGATATCATGTAACTGCCTCATAGCTCTCTGGTGATAGGAGGGACACAAACTTACATTTTTTCTGCCTGTTGCTGATCCTGAATGTCTTTACTTTCAAATTAATATAGTGGACCTTGTGAAATGAGACTAATACTTATAGTCTGTGAATGCTTTTTCTTTTCTTTTTTTTTTCCCTACCTTTGATTAAAAAGCTGGTTGGTGGCAGAGCTAGGAGTTTCTAATCAAAAGTCTTTTTGTTTGTGTCTGGTCTCCTCAACAATTCCACACCCACTGCTTCCAGCTCTAGTAGTGAGAGGAGGGAAAAAGCCGGGGACATAAGATGGAAGTGCAGTGCCATAGAACAGAAACTGGTATAAGCGTCTCCAGCTATTCAGAGCTATGGAGACTGCAGGCACATTGTAGGCAGGTGGGGCCCCTCCATAGAGCTTCTCAGGGATGCAGAGGAAGCACTAGGCAATCCATCATATCTGTCTTGGTGATTAGTGGGACTCTTCTTCCCATCCCTGTTTGCAGCCTATGTATCCGGGTGGGTTTGGAGAGTGCTTCTATTGTAAAGACCTAAGTACTTTCCTGGAAGAAGAGCTGACTGAGTTTCTGGGACCAGGAAAACTGCAGTGATTGGAAAGACCATAAGAAAGGAGTCCAGAAGGCAAGTGAGGAAAACCATCAGACATGTGGCAGAGAAGAAGCAAGCAGATGGGAGAGTCCTCAGTAGCTAAAATGGCTGGGGTTTTTGTTCCAATGTGTACAATGTTCTAAGACAACAGATTTTAGAGACTACATTTGATGGTCCTAAAAAAGAAAGAGTAGCGGGAGAAAATCACATATTGAATGCAATGTAGTCCTGGACTTTGAAGCATAGAGGTTATATGAGCAACTTGAAAGCATGTAAAATGATGAAAAATATTCCCTTCAAAAATCTGTTGCATTTCTATATTCAAAAGTTAACTAGCAGAAAGAGAAATGATGAAAACAATACCATTTAAAATTGCAGCAAAAAATAAAGTATCTAGGAATAAATTTAAACAAGGAAATGAAGGACTTTTATGTGAAAACTATAAACGACCCATGCAAGAAATTGAAGAAGACACAAAGAAATAGAAAGCTGTTCTGTGCTTATCATAAAGATATTCTATCCTACATGGAAGAAGACATTTGCAAAACATACATCAAACAAGGAATTAATATCCAGGTCATACAGTTCAACAACAGAAAACACATAGAACCTCATTTAAAATGGCCACAGGATCTAAATAGGCATTTCACAATAAAGATATACAGGTAGCCAGCAGACATCTGAAAAGTGTTCTACACTGCTTATCATTAGGTAAATGCAAATCAAAACACGGTAAGATTTCATCTCATGCTGATTAGAATGACGGTTATCAAAAAGTCAAGAAATAATAAGTGTTAGTATGTAGAGAAAAAGGAATCCTTGTATACTGGGGGTCGGACTATAAGCTGGTATAGTCACTATGGAAAACAGTACAGAGATTCTTCAAAAAATTAAAAATAGAACTATCATATTCTCTGTTATCCCACTTGTGGGTATTTCCTTGAGGGACATGAAAACACTAATTCAAAAAGATATTTGCACCCCTGTGTTCACTGCAACACTATTCACAATAGCCAAGCTTTGCAAACAACCCAAGTGCCTGATGATAAACGAATGCATAAAGAAGATGTAATGTATAAACACAATGGAATACTGTTCCAGCATTAAAAAAGATGAACTCATGTCATTCGTGACAAAATGGATAGATCTTGAGGGAATTATGCTACATGAAATAAATGAGAAGGAAATAGACAAATGCTAAGTGCAAGAAAAGCAAACAAAACAAGCACAGACTCTTAGACTGTCAGTAGAATAGTGGTTACCAGCAGGGAAGGAAGGAGGGAGCCAGTTGGTTGGTGATAAGTGGTGACTGGGTATTTGGTGGTGGTCATGGTGATATATATCCAGTTGCTGAGGTGAGAGAATGTATTTCTGGAACTTAGGCAGTGTTTTAATGTTACCCCAATAAAACAAACAGCAATATCCCATAACTTTGATGCTTCATACTGATGATAGTCTTGAAAAATATTAAAACAGCCTATGATGTCAGTTTCTTCATCTATGAAAAGGAGATAATAGGATTATGGTAAGAAATGAATAATACAATTAATTTAACCTGGCACATTCTGAGCAATTAAAACAATTACCATGCATGGGAGTGCAAACTGGTCCAACCACTATGGAGAGCTGTGTGGAGATTTCTGGACCTACTAAACATAGAGCTTCCATATGATCCAGCAATTCCACTCTTAGGTATTTACCCAAAGGACACAGAAACTTCAATTCCAAAGAACACCTGCACCCCTATGTTTATAGCAGCACTATTTACAATAGCTAAGCTTTGGAAACAGCCCAAATCCCCAAAAATAGATGACTGGATCAAGAAGATGTGGTACATATATACCATGGGATATTACTCAGCATTCAAAAAAGATAAACACATGCAATTTGCAGCAACATGGATGGCGCTGGAAGGGATCATGCTCACTGAAATAAGCCAGAAAGAAAAAGAAAAATACCGGATGGTCTCACTCAGCAGGAATCTAGAAAACTTAAATAAGGGACCAGGAAAATGAATAACTATAAGAAAGTGAAAATCAAAATCAACAAAAAACTATGAACCAGAGACACTTTTTGGGGGGTGGGGGGCGGGAGGGGAGGGATTGGGGTCAGAATGGGGGGATTGCAATTGTATGGGGAATATAAAAATAAAATTTATTATTTAAAAAAAAAACAATTACCATGCAATTTAAGACAGTACAATTTAAGACAGTACATAAATTGATATGTACATAAACATGTACATGCCTTAAATATATATCACAAAAATTATTGGCTTTTAAATACTTTAAAAGAAGACTTGATCATAGAAATTTAAAGAGTAACCATTTTTTATATCCCTCTCAACATCCATTATTCTTTAATCTTTGCATCTATTATATAGGGAATGTTTAAGGTCTGTGTACTGAAAAGTGATTGAAGATTGACAAACATTATCACCAGCAAATGATGCCTTTCATAGTCAATCTATAAAAATCCCTGTATTTTCAGTTTATAAAATTAGTATTCCTTCATATGTGATTCTGTCTCATTTAGCAGTCATAACCCTTTTCCTTTTTTCTGTTTTCTGCATCTTAGATTGCTGACTTTGTCTTTCTACTTCATTAATGTTACTTATTCCTATAACATATTGCATATGTCATGTATATATTATGATATCATATATGTGAGATAGTATTTATATATTTATGTATAATTCCCTATGGCTGACTTATAAAGTTCATCATGAAGGTTAAACTAAGAAGAAGAAAATTAAACTGGGAAAGGTTTGAACTGAGAGACAAAGCTATTTTTATTCTGGGCTGCTTCTCCATTATTTATTATTTTCCTCATTTTTAAAGATTAACAAATTTAGTTGTAAAAAAACCAAATAGGTTAGGTGCCTAACACAAATTGAGACAGAAATGGAAAATTAAAAAAAAATTGCAGTGATCCCTGCCCTAGTAAGAAGTTTTGTTTTCTTTATTTGGATAAATGGATAGCAGTTAAACACTCCTGTTTTGTGAAGTCAGAGATTTTATCTCCTGAATTAATTAACTGCAGAATAGTGACCAATGGTATGACAACATATCAAAGCCTGAGAGAAGCTGGGTTATTTGCCCTCCTTAGTTACATTTTTGTTTTAAAACTGAAATGGTCTCTTGGCAGAATGAAAAAGAAAGGTTTCCTATCTCTCTGGATAGGCGATTAAGACTACAGTGACAAAATCTTCTGTGTGACTGGTATTTCCAGAAGCATATTGTTTTTCTGCAGGTATTAGTCTCCCTGCAGGAGTTTTAATTATCTACTTCCATTCCAAAACCAACCACAGCAACAGCAGCAGCTCTCTCTCTCTCTCTCTCTCTGTGTTTG